GTCGGTCAGTAAGTCAGACAATAAGTTAGTCAGTAAGTCAATAAGTCAGTAAGTTAGAAAGTTAATCAGTAACCCAATTAGTAAGTTAGTAAGTAACTTAGTCAGTCAATCAGTCAGTAAGTAAGTCAGTCAGTCAATAAGTCATTAAGTCACTCAGTAAGTCAGTAATTAAGTCACTAAGTAAGTCATCAGTAAGTAACTTAGTCAGTCAGTAAGCTAGTAAGTAACTTAGTCAGTCAGTAAGCTAGTAAGTAACTTAGTCAGTAAGTCAGTAAGTTAGTAAGAAAGTCAGTCAGTAAGTCACTATGTTAGTCAGTAAGTCAGTCAGTAAGTAAGTAACTTAGTCAGTGAGTAACTTAGTCAGTCAGTCAGTAAGTCAGTAAGTAAGTAAGTCAGTAATTCAGTCAGTAAGTAACTTTGTAAGTCATTTACTTAGTCAGTCAGTAACTTAGTCAGTGAGTAAGTCAGTCAGTAAGTCAGTCAATAAGTAAGTAAGCAAGTCAGTCAGTAAGTCAGTAAATAAGTCAGTCAGTAAGCTAGTAAGTCAGTCAGTAAGTAACCCATCCAGTCAGTAACTTAGTCAGTCAGTAACTTAGTTACTTAGTAACTTAGTCCGTCAGTAAGTCAGTCAGTGAGTCAGTAAGTAAGTAAGTAATTAGGTAAGTCAGTCAGTCAGTAAGTCAGTCAGTCAGTAAGTCAGTCAGTAAGTAACTTAGTTAGTCAGTAACTTAGTTAGTTAGTAAGCCAGTCAGTATGTAAGTCATTCAGTTAGTCAGTTAGTAAGTAACTTAGTCAGTCAGCAAGTTAGTCAGAAAGTCAATTAGTAAGTCAATCAGTAAGTCTGTAAGTAAGTTAGTTATTAAGTCAGTTAGTAAGTAACTTAGTCAGTCGGTTACTTAGTCAGTTAGTAAGTCAGTAAGTAAGTGAGTTAGTAAGTGAGTGAGTAACTTAGTTAGTGAGTAACTTAGTCAGTGAGTAAGTCGGTCAGTAAGTCAGTCAGTAAGTGAGTCAATAAGTGAGTCAGTAAGTCAATAAGTCAGTCAGCAAGTCAGTAAGTCAATCAATAAGTCTGTCAGTAAGTCAGTGAGTCAGTCATGAAGTAACTTAATCACTCCGTAACTTAGTCAGTTAGTAACTTAGTCCGTCAGTATGTCAGTCAATAAGTAACTTAGTCAGTCGGTAAGTAACTTAGTTAGCCAGTAACTTAGTCAGTAAGTTAGCAAGTCAGTAAATCAGTGAGTAAGTAACTTAGTCAGTCAGTAAGTCAGTAAGTTAGTAAGTCAGTCAGTAAGTCAGTAAGTAACTTAGTCAGTCAGTAACTCAGTCTGTTAATAAGTAAGTCAGTAAGTCAGTGAGTAACTTAGTCAGTTAGTAAGTCAATCAGTAAGTCAGTTAGTTAGTAAGTAAGTAACTTAGTGAGCCAGTAAGTCAATAAGTTAGTAAGTCAGTCAGTAAGTAAGTTAGTTAGTAAGTCAGTCAGTAAGTAAGTAAGTAAGTAAGATAATAAGTCAGTCAGTAAGTCAGCAAGTTAGTAATTCAATCAGTAAGTCAGTCAGTCAGTAAGTCAGTAAGAAAGTCAGTAAGTCAATCAGTAAGTGAATCAGTAAGTCATTAAGTCAGTCAGTAAGTCAGTCATTAAATAACTTAGTCAGTTAGTAACTTAGATCGTCAGTAAGTCAGTCAGTAAGTCAGTCAGTAAGTAACTTAGTTAGTCAATAACTTAGTCTGTCATTAAGTCAGTCAGTAAGTTAAGTGAGTCAGTCAGTAACTTAGCCAGTCAGTAAGTCGGTCAATAAGTCAGTAAGTTAGTAAGTAAGTCAGTCAGTAAATCAGTAAGTCAATCAGTATGTCATTCAGTAAGTTAGTCAGTCAGTCAATAAGTAACTTAGTCAGTCAATAACTTAGTCAGTCAGTAAGTAACTTAGTCAATCAGTAACTTAATCAGTCATGATGGATGATGGATGATGGAACTTGAGAACCATGTGCATGGGTAGAATGAAGATAGGCAATAGCAAATTCACCGAAATTAATTTAAAGTGTAATATTTATATATTATAAATGTAAATATTTATACATATTTACTATATCATTTATTATATATTGTATGTATGTATATTACTAGATAGTTATGACACTATGGTTACCAATATTACAGAAGTTAATTATTGGAAAGATAAGATGGGCCAAATTTTGGACTTTTTAACTAATTTTTGTCTTTATTCTTCATAATGTATATAACCTAGTCTATATATATATATATATATATATATATATATATATATATATATATATATATATATTTATATATATATAACTTTTATATATATAAATATATATATATAAAAGAATATAAATTTATATATAACTTTTATACTATTACTATATTATCTATCATTCATTTTCAGTTATCATTAACTTTTAAATTAAATTAATATAAATGAATTATAGATGATACATTGACTATATATAAATCTTTAAATTGTTATAAATATTATCATCATATTTCTATACATTAAACTACTAAACCTCTCAAATTATGACTAAAATCCAATTCCTTTACAGCACCAACGCTTACCCGTGATACATTAGCCCATGGTATTATTGCCAATAAGCCAAGCCTCCTCTGTCACTCACTAGAGAGCCCGTGATACAATATACTTAAACTTAATCTTCAATTCCATATCTCTTCACTCTATATATATAAGCTAGCTTATACCTCTCTTTAGTCTCGTTACAATTAACCCAGTGGAAGAGCTAGTAAAGTGTTAATTAGACATACATAATCATATATATGATGGAGGCATATAAGTTTGTGATTGTGGTGGCTATTATGAGCATGATTGTGTCAGGGTCAACGTTGGTGAATGGTCAATCATTTTGTCACATGTCAAAAGCAGGTTTGAAGTCATGTTTGCCTTCAGTGAGTGGAGAAAATCCTGTTCCTCCAACCCCTGCTTGTTGTTCAGCTATTGCAAATGCTGACCTTCATTGTTTATGCCAATACAAGGATTCAACTTTGCTCAAATCTATCTATGGTGTTGATCCCAACCTAGCAATGGCACTTCCTGTTAAGTGCAATGTTGTGGACCCTTCTTTCCATTGTTAGGAGTCAAAGACTTATGCAAGGGCTCTTTTGTTGTTGTATAATCTATGATTTGTACTCCAAGCTTTATGTCTTTTAATTATTATTTCTTTTGTTTCAATGTGGTTGTTGCTAATGCTATATGTAATGTGTTCATGTCGTGCTTGTTTTTGCTTTTGTTATTGTGATTTGTTTTGTCTTGTTATTTGGTTAATTACTCCCCGTATACATTAGGTTGTTCTGATTTGACCTTAAATGGTATTGTTGACCAGTCTCTTTTTTTATAATAATAAATCAAATCATAACTTATTAATCAAATCATAGCTTATTTTATTTTGGGTAAAAACTACTATCATGAAGCAAAAGAGGACCATATGCATATCCTTGCGGATGGAACGAAAGCGGAATTAAAATTGGAATAGTCAGCCAACAAAATTACTTTGCCCTTCATAAAATTGATAATTGCTATTAGTAAAAATTCATTTTGTTCTATTTTCACCCAAAAAAATAAAATAAAATTTTGTTATGATATTTTATAAAAGTACCATAAGCTTAAATTAATCTAACTTTGTTAATAATTATGATTTAATTATTTCATAACCACAGTAAAAAATAATGTACTGATTTCTATTAAATAAATTAAATAAAATTTTAATAAATAATTTAAATTGTTAATAAACTAAATTGAATTATTAGGAGTTTAGCGTCCTCCATCAACCTATAAAAATGTTCCATCAATTGCATATAAGATTAGCCCTAAACATTTGATAGATATTTGTCAAAGCTAGGGGAGCAATGAATCTGCATTGCACTCTTTTTTTCATTTGTCATAGTTTTATTCCACTTAATGACACTATCTTATTGAGTATTAGAGAATGAGAAAAAAAAATATTGATATCATCTAATTTGAATCTTTAAAAATTGATATAAATAAATAGTAAATAATATATATATATATATATATATATATATATATATATATATATATATATATTACACTATTAAAGAATAATGTATTTTTTTCACCAGTTTTTTTTTCCATTCCAGTCCTATTTTAATGGATGGCTATCATATTCTTTGATATTATTATATTGTATACTTATTCCGAATTTAACTTAAAATAGAATTAGGACTTATATATTCTTTTATAAATAGAATTAATATAGTATTGTAAGCATCCCACCAAAAAAATATAACTTAATTTCTCTTACTTCCATCTTATCCCATTTCATCTTCTCATTTTTTTCTATTCTTATTTGACTTTTTCTATAAGAGTGGTCCAAAACATACGTTTAAATTTTAAGTTTTAGACCTTAACTTAGAGCCACTCAATATCTTAAAACTTATAAACAGGTGAACAACTAGTGATACAAAATAAAAGTGAATAAATCAATAATAACTTGTGTATATTTGGATTATATATTTATATTAAAATAATCTATTTAACAACTAATTTGTTATGAGGTGTATAATTTGATTGTATATTTAGTATATCTATACTTAAATATATATGTTAGTAAAGTCTATTTTTTATTTATTACTATTTTTAATAATATGGTGAAAAGGTCAGCTAAATTTTCTCTAAACTTGAATTAACGGTTCTATTTATAAGATAAAGTAAGTGTAATAGAAAAGTAAGTAACAGGGTAATTGTGAGAATAGCAATAAGTATAAGGACGAAATAGTGAAATAGTGAAATAGAAAAGTAAGAAATAGGGTTTGGTGGCTCTGTTTAGTTATTATTATTATCGAGCCCAGCCCAGTTTATTAGCTCTCTGTAATCTATATATACACCACAGAAGCATTGTGCAACAGCGCCGTTAATCATAAACCCTAATGTTCTTCTTATTAATCATTCCTATCTCTCTTTTGTTTCGCAGTTTTTTTTCATTATGTTTTGTTTGAATTGGCCTTCATAATCCCGGCTAAGCTTGCGTAAGTGCTTATGCTGATTCATGGGAGGCCAAAATTGAATGTTGGAGGCTTCGCTGATAAATGCTGGTTTCTTATTCTTATTTCCAAGCATTTACTAGTAACTTTCCACACATTATTTTCCCACTCTATTTCGTTTTACTCATTTTTATATGATTCATCATCCATACGCTGATAAATGCTTGGATGGATCTCTATTTGTTGTTTTCTTCGTCTAGAAAATGCTATATACTTTTATGTGCAGAAAATTAATTTTATATAATTATAAGCACAAAATATACATCATTTACATAAGGAGATAACAAGATCAGGCTTGAAATTTAGTTATTCGATCGAACTTGATATAAAGAGTGGAATATGTTAGAGTTGATAAATTTATTTAGTTCATCTATTGAAAGACGTGATTCAATTCAAAATTGATATGGAGTTGGAATTCATATCTGGTCCCTCAAATTCCGGTGCTTAAATTTCAAATTGATGAACTAATCCTCTTTTGCTGATAGGTATAAATTCCTATCTAATGGACCCTTTTCTCAGAGGAAAAAATTGTTTGCTGATACTGTTAATATATTAGATATAATAATTTCGCTGAGTGGTTTTAAATTTAAAATTGGGTAAATTAAAATATGGAAAATTAAAAAAATTATCATTCAGTAGTCTGGTTGATCCAATAAGATTTGGTGTTGGCACTTCTGAATTAGAAAACTGAGAAAAAAATGAGTCAACCGTGTTGTCAAAGTAGAAAAATAAATGTGTAAAAAAATTGAAGGATTGGATTAATGATTGAAAAATGTCATAAGTCAGGAGAAAACCATTCTAATGTATGTACAAAGCCCAAGATAGGGAAGATCAAACAAACTCAGATATAAATTACTCTACTAAAATTATTATATTGATTAATGATCTAAATAACAACCAATATAAATTAGATAATATTCTATCATGACAATCACACATGCGATAGACTTATTCATGTGATGGTGACTAAGTATCTTTGTTGTGGAACTTAGAATGTACTTCCTTATGGAGATTGTGTTATATGAAATCATTGCTTTGGAGTTTGGAGTAAAGATGAATGAGATGATAAATGTGAATGACCTTGTAAGGTGTTGACACACCTCAAAGGATCAATACCAGATAAACTAGAATTTCACCCGTAGAACAATTATCTGACCGTAAGAACAAGGGCAAAGAATTGGTTGGACTTAGAATGTATGATAATTAATTATGTATTACAAAATTTTAATTTCAATTAAATTTTTAATGTAATGTTAATATTTTATTGATTATCTACGTATACATTCGTTTTCACATGAATCTTTATCTCAAAATTATACCCTGATTTGGATGAACTCCATTGGTAAGATAGTTATGTTAGAAGTTAAACTCTTTCCATCAGCAAAGCCTCTCACTCATTATAAATTATATTTGTTTGAGTTTAATATGTAATTAGGTATCATTAGTATAACTTTTTTCCCGTAAATCGACTACATACCCCATTCCTATTTACTACATTAACGACATATGCTAAGGTAAATAGTTCTAAACTTTAGTTTCTTTTTGTTCATAACACCCATGCATGTGTTGCTTTAAACCCATCGTAAATCCATGGAACTAAAATGAATAGGACTACTGGATCTGGAATCACAATTATGAATTATTATCTATTTACACAGATGTTAATCCCATACCAATTGTCATACCAGTATTTTCCAATTCGGACCAACTTAATTATACGATCAATATAATTGTCATTCCGTACGATACAGGAACCGGTTCACCAAAACTATTAAAAAAAATTAAAACAAAAATTATTAATAATAATTAACTAGTTGGGAGTGTTGATAAGCCCTTTGGAATACTAATAGCATACGCGTTAGGTATTATGGGCATCAAGAAAATCTAAGCAATTATGCTAAACTTAAAATAACTAAAATCATGTTAAAGTTAAACTGTAAGGTCATCTTGCAGAATAAAAGCAAACCAGAAACATCTCTTTGAATTACTGCCTATTCAAAATTGTCAATCTCAATTTAAGCCCAACCCTATGTTGTTACAGTATCTTAAGTGCCAAGGTTCACACCTACTTGTTGTATAGATGAACAGCAGTGAAGATGAAGAAACCTGCCATCTGCATCACAATCAAAAAGTTATATTACCCAAAAGCCTCGGGGAACTCTCAAAAAGGAAGATCCATTTGACAGAACATACACATCTAATTACAACTTAAATATACAGTAAGTAGGATCTCAAGAAGCTTTTAAAAGAAACTATATGGACCTTTTAACAGTAACATCAGCTGTCACTTGGTCCAAATTGCTAAAATTCAATTGAACATTTGAATGCTGAGTTCACATTTGTACAAGTACTGCCAATAGAAATCAACTTAACCAGAATGCTAACGTGCATTAGTAAGAATGATTAAAAGAGTGGCACAATGCACAGGACTCCAACTTAGTGGGGGTCTGAAGAGGGTAAATGTAAGCAGCCTAGCCCCCACGAGCAGAGAGGCTGTTTCCAGGATTAGTAAGATAGATTGATGTCCGTTTAAGATTGGTCAGGAATTCATCATCTAGGCCTGGACTAGACCAGCAAATTATCTCCACTAGCCTAAATGATATGGTACAGTCAAACAAAATTAAACATAAACATGAACGAGTGGGTTGGAACTTGGACCTATTTTTATGAAAGTTATGTTATCATACAATGCATGGAAGATAAAAGTCAAGTTCATGATCCAATTTATAAATTATCCCTCCGAATGAGATATGGAGAGAAATCCTTACCATTGAAAATGCTGCTCCATAATAGGGATAAGCTGCAGGAATGAATCTCTCGTATTCATTGTGTCTGAAGGGACGGACGGGAATCTACATGGAAAGTTCAACACAATTTAAGAATACTGAGTCCAATAGTTGTTATTATAATGTATAATGTTAATAAAATATTAATCCGTAATAAACTATGAAATATGACTGGTTGAACTGTATGCATAGGCATAGATAAAGCAAAGCAAGGTACCATAAATGACAACATCTAAAAGGCATTGAAAATAGGAAATTCTAAACCCACAAGGGTCTAATTATACATGGATCCGTACGGAAAAGTTTTGATGTGACCATGCTCATATACAAAGGTAAATCTATTTGATGCAGATAGGTGGTTTGCACCTTTGCATGGAAAATAGGATATTAGGGTAGATTGATTCTTTAAAATACTGGAATAAAAAATCAAAGGATCAGCACTTACCTGCTTTGATAAAGATAAGGTAGTATATCCAAGTTTATGGTAGTCAACTTTGAATTGGAAAACCCCGTAGACATCAGGAACCTTAAAAGATGTGAAATAACGACCCTGAAAGAGAAAATGTAATCCAGCAAATTTCACACAAGAGTTCACTGGAAAAGATCACAAGCATATGGCCAAAAGAAATTTCAAAATTACCTTTCCATCGGTTGATAAAGTCTTCAAGACATAGGGGCTCATCATGTAAAATTGCACTTGAACATCATTAGCCACATAAGGTTCCCAAGTTGTCCCAGACCACTCATAAATTTCAACAGAGTATTCCTTCAACAATATTAGAGGAGTCACAGTCAGAAGTAATTTTTCAATCAAAACACAAATGATACATATATCAACATTGAAATGATATTTATAATTTAATTTACCAAATCATCGTTGATCCTATACATGGCTGGTTCCTCAGCTTCCCCAATTTTATGGTGTTGCACATTCACCGCCTTAATGTCAAAACATGAAGCAAATGACATTAGTTAACAGCACTCATGCTAATTATGATGTCAATGAAATAAATGAAAAACACCACTGATATTGACAGAAGTATTTTTGCCCTACCTTGAGGTGACCTCTTTCATGGAAAACCCATTTGCTGATTTCAGTCAAGAACTGCTCGTTACCCGACTTGCCATGCCTATTATTCCAAAAAAAATCATTACCAACCCTTATCTGAAACAGATATGTTCCATTACTTTAAGGTGGATAGAGTGAAAATATTAAGCAAACTAGTAGATAGAAAGTAGAAACCGTATTACGGCAGTGTTAAGAGGGAAGCTGCTACTCTAGCAGTGAATTTATTTGATAGACAACAGGAAAAAGAAAAGGTTTAGCGCTTTACTCACTTGATTGGACTCCCAGCCTTCTGCACACTTGACCTGAAAAATCTGCAGAAAAAATCAAAGTTTATGATAGTAAAAAAGAACTTCAGAGCTTACACATTACAAAACCCTGATTAACAAGTGAGCATTTCATACCGGTTGCTAAACAGGCTCAATGAGCCAGAGATCAATATCCGAGCATTATTTCTTGCCTGACAAATGGTAAAATTAAATAAGCGACAGGTTTACTACATTTGTGCAGAATTAATCTATACAAAAATAAAAAACAGCATGCAATTGAACATTAAATGTGTGAAACATATCTTTTATGAAAAAGAAAAAAGATAAAGGTGATTATGTATCATTGCAGTATATAATAAAACTCCAAAATAGAATTGGATAACTTTAAATGAATAAAGAAACAAAGAATTAAACCTTGTAATGCATATCTCAAAGCAACAGTTGAAATGTTAAAAGATAACCACAGATGTCAAAGTGAGGACAGTAAACAACACACAATAGGAGGATAAAATATTACATACCTGTATAACTGAAACCAAGGAGATCGTAGATCCAGTGAGTGATGGAGGAGTTGCCAACTTAGATTTTGGATCAGCAGAATATGCTGAAGGAGATGCAGAGAGAACTTTCAAGACCTAAAGTGAAACAAACAGTAAAAAGTAAAACACGATATATTCATCGCTAGCAACCAAACATACTAATAATTATAATAAGTTTAACCATAAGGACTAAGATAAAGAAATATTACCAGACTATTGGAAGGATTTAGTGAATGCCCAATCCCTTGGAAAAGTACTGGAGCCTGTAGCATGTAATGTAAACATCAGACATAAAATTTGTGTTTAATAATTAGCATTTGGTAGTAACACATAATGCTATATTTACAAGATTCTCTCGTTAACCCAGCGTACTGCATACGGATTAAGTGGGTACCGCGTACAAGGTTCATCTTAACGAAAGTCTCATATAATGAAAAAGT